GGCTGCGAGCTGCAAGGTCAGCAGTTCGAAACTACCAGCTGCTCCGCGGGAGAAAGATGAGGCTTTCTGCTCCCGTAAAGATTTCCAGCCTTGGAAACCCTGTACAGGGTCGCTATGAGTCAGAACTAACTCCACGGCACTTAACAACAACAACAACAACACTACCAGAGCTCCTTATCTCTAAGGAAGGCTCCCAATTTTCAACTCCAGTCATCTGAACTACCCTACTCGATTCCTCTAAGCTAAAATACCCTTCTCTATTGCTCTTAGCCTCTTCCTCATTAAGGAAATGAAACACATATCTCAATGTGGAACCCAACTTAATTCCCATCATCTCATCAAACATGTCATACTCAAAAAATAACCTAGAAATTTATTTGGCTAGTTTGGGGGCGATAGGAGAGAAGAAATGGGCAAGTGGGGATAAAATTGTAGCACCAGATAAAATGCTAGAAAAAAAATTATTACATTTCTCAAGCTCTTGTGATGTGGTTCTGAATGTTAAATATGCATTTGAGATCCTGGCCAAGGTAAAATCAGTATTCTGATTTGACATCTGTTACATGATGCTGATTACTTATAGAACTCAGGACTGATGGTTTTTCAGAGATTTTATTTGATTATACTGGGTGGTCCATTTAGAACACAGTCAATACTACCTCATTTCAAAAACCTACAAATGGCCTACTTTACATAACAGCTATGGCAAGGCTTTTATAAGTGTTATGTGGTTCGGAATTTATTTAGTGTAAATACAGTCTAGACTCATGATCTTTCATCTCAAAGCCTAGAGCAAGAAAGGAGTGAGCCTAATGAGAAAACAGGAGCTGGAACCATAGGATATGCATGCTAAAGTTAGCATCCTAGGTGGCGCTCTGAGAACAAAAACACTGGCACCTTAGCACAGGTGGCATAGGTTGTGAGGGACAGAATAAGGAGTCAGGGACTATCCCTGAAAACATATGCCAGACCCACCCTGCCAATCCTTGCTCAGTAATAAGCCCTTTGGTATATGGAGGGAAGTCATCAGTGATGGTGGAAAGTCCCACTTAGCAAGTAGTAAAGGCCCCGGGGATGATACTCACGCTGGCATTGTCCCCAGGATTGGCGAGCCCAACCCCAACAGCAATCGATCCTTCCTCCATAACGGCACAAGCCAATGGATGACACTATTTGCCTGGGCCACCTGCCAAACCAAAAGATCAAAGGAAAAAAAAAAAAAAAAGACACTTTTGAAATTAAAAATAAATTTTTTTTTGTTGTTTTTTTCGGACTTTAAAAACACACACATACATACAACAATTTCCTAACTCCTTCATGCCTGCAGAAATTTTGGGATCAATCACCCTTACTGAAATAGTTCTGTAATGAGCTAATTTCAGCTCTACATGATAAATAAGCACTGGACTGTGAACCACAAGGTCACCAGTTCGGGCCCACCAACAGCCTGCGGGAGAAAGATGAGGTTCTGCTCCTGCAAAGATGCACAGTCTCAGAAACCCTATATAGTCTTGCTGAGCCAGGCTCAAAGACACTCAAACTAAACACACATACACATTCAATACACAAAAGGGGAGCTTAAATTTTCCCTAACTGTAAATGGTGATGGTGGTTGTATGCCATTGAATCTGTTCTGACTCATAGCAACCCTGTATAGGGTTTCCCAGCCTGGAAATCTTTACCGTAGCAGAAATCTCCATCTTTCTTCAGGCAGAACAATTGAGTTTCCAACTGCTGACCTTGAGGTTAGCAGCCGGATTGGTCATCACTACCACAGCGCCTATTTAAGTTGTCGTTGTTAAGTGCCTTCAAGTCGGTCATGACCCACAGCGACCCTGTATACAGTTTCCAAGGAGCGGCTGGTGAGCTTGAACCACGGACCTGGTGTTGAAATGACTTTGCAGTCCAGTGCATTAGCCCACAGCGCCACACCAGTCACCAACTAAAATCAAGAATTCTCAGGGCTGCTACTCAGAGGGTGGTTTCTGAAGCTTGAATAAAAGAGATTCCTCAAAGACAGGCCACCTGTTACTGGAAAGGGGAAGGGGGAGTCACTTTTGAGTGACTGAATAATACAGAACAGGGATGTCAATGAAGAAAAATAGTTCATCTCTGTCTCATATAAAGGGTGAAAGGAGAGAAAGAGGGGAGGCTTTTGAAAATTAAATGAAACTGAACTCTTTTCGAGATATAACTCTGACAGGAAAAGTTCCTAGGGAAAATAAAACAAAAGTATACCTGACATATCAAGTGTCTCTATGAAAGGAAACTATCCTGCATTAATAACTCATACTATTTTCCTCTCTAATGTAAATAAGGGCTAAAGGAAGTGTTGAGTTTCAGTATACGGATCTATCCTCCAGATTCCACTCTGAGACCTTATTTGGAAAATTGTTTCCTTATTTAGATTCACACCTGAATGACATTTTGGGGAGTGCAAGAGATTAACATTTCAATTGGTTGTTTTATACGCCTTTTTCAGGCGATATTAAAATCGTGTGAATAATCAGGTGATATATTTCTTGTTGGACATGTGTGTGAAAGAAATTCACAACACAACAGGCAAAGAATTGCTTTAAATTTTTTTTTTAATCAAAAGGTGTTGTCTCCGGCCGCTAGGCACGTTTCCTGAACTCTCGCAATCTTTCAAATGCCCTTTCCTTAACCTCCTCCTAACCCCCAAGGCACAGAGTACAAAATAACCCCGAACATTTTATTTCCTCCAACCAGGTGGTGAACAAGCAGCTGTGCTTTTGCCTCACAGCGCTCCAGTGGTTCCCCTCTATTTCTTTCAGGTACAAGAAAGCCCATCTATCTTGGAATTGATTCGTTCCAAGATTACAGGTTAAACAGGTGCGGGCATCTTTCTTTGGGGCTGCTCAGGGAGGATCCATGGCGGAACAAAGGACGGAATCGCTGAAGGGAGGGTGATTGAGTAGCCCTGTGACCCAGGTTAAAACCCTCCTGACTGCGCCTGTCTCGTTTTCTGCGCGAACAGCGATCAGCGCTCCAAGACTGTAGAGTTTGTAATTGCGTGGAATGGGGTAACGGGGCACACCCTCCCGACCGACACACCCGCCCGAGCGCATCCGGCGGCGGGGGAAGAGGCGCCGCACGCCGCCGCCAGAGGATCAGCTGAGTGACAGCGGAGACGGAGCCTGGGGTTGTTGGAACCTGTCAGAGCACGCTGCAGTCAGGCTCGTCCCAAGTCTGCGGAGCAGCGTGCGGGCACACTCACACACGTAGCGCCTCCCCCCTCCCTTCCCAGCCCCGAACCCCGGTCCTTATTTTAAGTCCTCCTTTAAAAAAAAAAAAAGTAGGAAGGCAAACAGGTCCAGTCGCCTCCTCGTATCCACTCCTATGTGTGACCACCGTGGCAGTTTCGAGCCGGAATTTCGCCCCAGTAAATGGAAGTTTACCCCACTGCTTAAATAGTTTTCCAGCCAAGAGATGGCTCCGTTCGTCACCCTTGATTGCGGGGCTAAACCTTAGAGCCTAGATCTTGGATTTAAGTTTTTCTAGTTCCCCAACCTAATTTCCGAGCCCGGGGCCTGGGTGGGCGGTTCCGGGGACCCGCAGAGTCGCGACAGGGTTCTCCCGCTCACAAGGTAGCTCAAAGGTCCTCCTGCTGTCCGTGACCCAACTTGTGGCAGGGGAGACGCCTCTCACACTAAGAAATCCCCTTGGAAAGAGGACTCCAGCGTTGGGAGTAAGAAATCAGCACTGGAAGAGGACGCCCCGGGGTCCAACTCACCTTCCGTCGAACTCAGCGGCCGCCTGCAGGTATAGAGTGGACGCGAGCACCAGAGCCAAGAGACAATCCATGCTAGGTAGCAAGTCCCCGCGGTAGCGCAGCTCTGAGCCTGGTACAGGGAGAGGGTGTTAGGCTCGGAGTTGAGGCGCGCTCGCCTCCTAGGTTCTCTTCTCTCACTGTGCCTACGAGCCAAAGGCCCCAAGAAGCCGCTGCCGCCGTCGCAGCCGCCACCACCACAGCTGCCACTCCCGGAGGAGAGCGGTGCAGCGCGCAGCCGGAGCAGGTCTGCCGCACGGCGCCGGGAGCCCCCTCCGGCTCCCTCCCCGCAAGGGGAGGTGCAGCAGGGGGAGTTGCGCTGCCGGAGGGGAGGGGCGTGGGAGTGGGGGCGCGCGTGCGCCCGCCTCACCGCCCTCCCAACCCCGCTCCTGGGGTGAGGGCCCTCGGCCCCTCCCAGGGGCCAGCAAGGCGGGAAACTCGTGGCGGGGGCACTGAGGGAAAGCTATGTCTGGGGCGGGGAGTGGGGGTGAGCAGCCTAGTGTGTTTAGCCAGAGGCTTGAAGAAAAGTTACTAGTGGAGCCTAGGAGATGGAAAGCAGGGTCTTGAGCGGGAAAAGGTGACGGAAAGGAAGAGAGCCCAGGGCATAGGTGAGCGTTCGGAGGGTTCTGCCAGAACAGGTGGTGACCACTGGGGCGAGCCATAGCTTTCGCTGGAGGGCGGAGAATCCCAAGACAGGAGAAGTTTATGGGGCTGGCGCTAAGCGATGTCTGCTTTCAGTGAAACCACAGCACGACTTGGACAAATTAGCAAAGGCAAACTCCAGGAGTTGCTTCTCCCACAGTGTTGGCAGAGGCATTATTTTTATTTTGTAACCAATCGAAAGAAATGTTTGGCTCTCCATTGAGATTGAAGAGAAGAAACGAGCAGACTTTTTTCTGTCTCCACCAGCTCGACTCTAAGCACATTAGAAGAGCAGTGGCTGCCCCTGCAGGGGCATATGCCCTCCAGAGAGGGAGGCTGTTATACGACTTGGAAGTGTTGTGGTGCCTGATGTTGGGGAGGAAATAATTTAGACACCATTTTAGGTAATCATTGCTCTATTGTTGCAAAGTATCAAGTATTGTGCTAATGGGCTATGTTCATGTAAAAATACGCAATCATTTTCCTAAAATGCACGGTAAAGCATAAATCAGATCAAGTCTCCCTCTTCTCAAATCCTCCTCCTTCGAATGGCTTCCCATGTGCAGTGTGATTTGCTATCTGGACTACCAAAAGAACCTAAGCTTTCACTCTCTTCCTCCAATTCGTGGCCTCCTTTCCTTAATTGGCACACTCCAGGCATACCCCTGTCTTGGTGCCATTTGACTGCCTGGACTCAGATTATCTGCATGGCTCACACCTTTCACAAAATTTTAAGTCTTTGCTCAGATATCGCCTCTCCAAAGAGAACTACAAGTATGATCACCCTGTTTAAAATTGCAGCCTGCCCCATACTGTGTTCTGCTCTTTTCTCCATACCTCTCGTCTTCTAGCATACTGCATCATTTCCTTTTTCTTGTTTGTCTTCTTTGGTTTAAAATACAGACTCTACAAGGGTAAGTATCTTTGTTTAGTTCCCCAAACAGTGTCTGGCACATAGTGGGTACTCACAGATGTTTGTGGAATGAACTTCTTACATGAAATTTTTTTTCCATCTTTATTTTCTTTTTGAGGTTTCTACAACTTCTCATTTTAATGGAAAGTTCTGTGGTGGCATAACCTTACTCTCCTGATCTCTCAGGGTATGTAAAATGCTCTTTCTGCAAAAAAAAAAAAAGGAAATAAATGGCCTCAACTTATATGACTCTTTGATTTCCAAGTTGTTTTCTATTAGCAAAACAAGTTCTATTTTAACCTCAGAAAACATCCATGCCAATTCAGGCTTGGAACATTATTTTAGGCAAACAGCTTGGTGTCATCTATTTCAGATCCTTCTAATGAAGTCCAAAAATGTAGTTATCAAAATATTTTTTTCTGCAGAAAATCAAATTTTTTAAGTGTAACATAGGCTTGGTTCCAGGCTCCAGTGGCTACCCCTTAGCCATGTTCTTTCCTATTTGTTCCTAGTTTGGATTTCCAGATAAGCCCTGCCAGAGCAATGGATGAACCTACAGGCAGAAAAACTGGAAAGAGAAGAAAATGGGAAGAATGGCAGGTAAAAACGGGATGGACGCCTGAACCAAAGTGTAATGCCCCATCTTCATGCCTCTCTTTCATTTCCCCCCCTACATCTTGTCTTTGACTTAGAAAACACTCTATTCTTTTCCAACTTCATTTGGACAGTCTCCACTTACCAGTTTAGCTGACATTTGTCCAGAAAGCAAGGCTTTTCTGTTTTTTGTTTTTATTTTTGTTTATGTGGGTTTTGCCTTTTGTTTTCTGTTTGGCCTGTCATATGTAATCCTATACCATAATGCAGTGCAGCTTCCAAGGTGCCTTGGTGGCACAATGGTTGAGCACTTGCCTGCTAACCATTGATGTTTCCAACCCACCCAGTAATCCACATGAGAAAGACCTAGCAATCTGCATCCATAAAAATTACAGCCTAGAAAACTCCATGAGACAGTTCTACTCCAACACATGGGGTAGCTATGAGTCAAAATAGGCTCTGCAGCACCTAACAGTAACAACAGAGTGTAGCTTTTTAAGGAGGGTTGGTGGCACAATGGTTAAGGTGTTTACTTGTTAACCAAAACATTGACAGTTCTAAGCCACCAGCTGCTCTGTGAGAGAAGACACACCGGTATCTGCTCATGTAGATTGTTGTTGTTTTGTTAAATGTCACCGAGTCGATTCTGACTCATAGTGACCCTGTAGAGGGTTTCCAAGGAACAGCTAGTGATTTTGAACCGCCGACCTTGCAGTCCAGTGCATTATCCTGCAGCACCACACTAGGACCCCCTAAGAAATCCTAAGAAGTTCTACATTGTGTCTCCAAGTCTGAATGAGTCAGACTTAGTCAGTGTATTATAAGTCATTGTAATTTATAATGCACTGTTTTAATTGCCACTTTAGCACTCCACGTTTCCGTGAAACACTAGTTTAATCAATTGCCTTTGCTGTTAAGTGCCACCGAGTCAGTTTTGACTTTAGAGGTGTGAGTGACTGGTGAGTTTGAATCACAGACTTTGCAGTCCAAACCAACCCTGTGGTCCAGTGCTTATCCTACAGTGCTACACCAGGACTCCAGTCTAACCAAGAGATGGGGACAGACAATGTCTGTCTTCTCGCTGCATCCCTTACAGCCAGTACTATATCCAGTGTAAGGCTTAAATTCAGTAAATCATGATAAGATGGGATTAGATTAGATTCTGCCGAGAGAATTTTAGCTTCTTCCTTGAGTAAACAAAAACATACCAAACACATTGCTGTCAGGTCAATTATGACTCATAGCAACCCTACAGAGCATAGTAGAACTGTCCCATAGAAAACAGACTACCACATGTTTCACAAAACAGCTGTTGGGTTCAAACCCCCAACTTGCGGCTAGCAGCTGAGCACTTAACTATTATAGAACCAGGACCCCCTTCTCTTGAGTAAGTAATTCTATCCGACTTTGTTGAACCATCTAGAACCTTCCAAAGGTCTTAGTGGTAGTTGTGCTGCAGGTATGACCACCAGTGATCATTCCCTAAAATGGTAGTGTTCCCATGAGAGTGATATTTCACCATTTCAATCTTAAAAAAAAAAAAAAAAAGACTAGATCAAAGCACTTTGCTTTTTAGCAATGTCTGCATTGTTCCAGTAGAACAACTGTTTGGAAAGTTTTCATATCATGCAATGGCACCTTACATGTTGTTGTCGTTAGGTGCCATCGAGTCAGTACCAACTCATAGTGACCCTATGTACAACAAAACAAAACACTGCCCGGTCCTGGGATGACATCACAATTGTTGCCACGCTTGAGCTCATTGATGCTGCCACTTTGCCAATCCATCTCGATGGGGATCTTTTTTTTCTCTGACCCTTTCACCTTACCAAATATGATATCCCTCTCCAGTGACTGGTCCCTCCTGACAACA